TTTTTAATCGGAGTCTTCCTTGGCGTTGCCGTCCTGACTGTTTAAGGTCCCTAATATCTCTTTGCAGTATCATTGTAGAATCAGACATAAAGGTAACTAGATGAAAGGAAATGACCGACAAAGAAGCTTTGATTTGTAATCAATTCTCCTTACCAGTTAGAGAGGAAAGGTACAGAAAGCAGTAAGGAGAATATGTGGTCTGATGCATGGTAAAGGTGTATGTGTATGTGTGTATGTTTGTTTACGTATACTCAGGGTGGTCACTAATTAAGTGCACAACGGGCACCTCAGAGCGTACACACTTTCAAGACAGAGCTGAATAACGTATACGCATGCGCTAGGTTTTGCCGCGGAAACACGGATTTTGAGTCGTTCGCATGGTTGATTTCCTATTCTGTTGCTTCGAGGCGTCGTTTTCCTTGCCCTTTTTCTTTTACAGAACAACCTCCAAAACTTGGTACACCAAAAGCTTGGTACACCAACCTCCAAAAGCTTATTACACCCCCCAAAAATTTTCAAAAATTAATTTTGTCCTTTAAAACCTTTGGAAATAGGAAAGTGCCTCCTACGAAAACAGAGTTCCTCGGTTTTAAAAGTCAGCCCCCATTATTTTCCGCTAATTTCGCTAAATTTTAGACGTAGGACACTTGAGTACGCGTTGTTGATCGCATACCCTCTGACGCAGCATTTCCCTATTCAGCTCTGTCCACTTACAATCGTTCACCACCTTTGAGCCGCCTCACTCGAAATTTCTGCCAGCAGCATAATTTTTAGCTACAAATCTGTATACTAGTTGACCACTTTCCCAATGGGGCTTTTCAGGGCCAATGTAAATGAATGAATAAACGAATGAATGGAGGAATTGAGATGGTGTCAAAAAATCCCAACTGGCAGGAGACAGACCAGTTGGCGATATACAAAGTGCAGATAAGGAATTGTGCCCAGGGCCCCAACCACTCGGCCACACTGCTTCGCAATATTTCCAGAACACACTATCTAGACTTGGGTGCGAAAATGGGATCGATGTGACTCCAGTTTGATTTTACTCTTAAATGTTTGCATTCTGTTTCAGATCATTGATGGTGTAAGAGATGAAATGAACCGTTTGTACACCAAATTCTGCATCAGAAATCCTTCTTTTGAGGAAAGAAACGGCAAAATTTCAATAGTAGCCCACTCGTTGGGGAGTGTGATTACATATGACATCTTAACACTTTGGGACATGGAATTGAGACATCTTCCTCAAGATGCCACAAAAAGCACCGGCTTTCTTACAGAAAGCCTGCAGTACTTGCGGTCAGTGACCAGCTTGACGAGTAATGAGCAGAAGGAGTCTGGGCCCAAGGCTAAGAAGAAAGAGAATGTACGAGTTGAACTTGCCAAAGCTCGGAGCGAAGTGATGAGGCTTGAGGCGATGGTGTTGAGTGAGGTGGAGCACGAGAAACAAGGCGCTGAAAAAAGCTGGGACGAATGCCCTTTAGCGCTGAGGTTTAAGGTGAGAGTTGTTCCAGTCATTAAAATAAGTCATTGATCTGGACGAGAACTTTATGCATCATCACAGACAATAGCATGTTTGCCTCGGGTTTGGGGGGGAGGGGGGGCAGGGGGGTTTCTACAAGATATAGATATCTTATTAGACTTTTTGTTGTGTAGTATCGCTGATTATTTTTACGGGTTGTGCCGTATTTTGA